TCTTGAGAACAAAATGCACCAGCAGAAATTAAGAGAGTTTTGGACCTATGGGATGATTATTTAAAAACATGTTTGCTGATTGTAAAATGTCCTGACATTGCTGACACACAACATAGAAACATTAGAAAAGCATTCCAGTTAAAAATAATTTTGTTTTCTACCCTGTATTTATCTACTCGTAAATTCTTTAAAGCTTTTTAAAAAACAGGATCCCAAATTCTTAGCAGGATGTTTAAATATGTAAAATGCAGGCTTGCTTGTAATTTCTAACATATTTAACATTACAAATACCTGCACCAGAGTAGGAAACTGACTCAGAGTCTTATAAGGAAATAGTCTTGAATGTAAGGCTTCACAGATTACAGTATAAAAAGCTATTTTTACATGCTTAATTTGTTTGCATTTTTTATTCTGATCTGAATTAGGTATTAAACAATATATTGGTTTCATAAAAGCTTTAGTTTAATTCATTCATTGTGACTGTGTAGTCCTATCACATTTTTTAATTCTGTCCATTGCATCACAATTGTTTTTTGTGGAAGTGATTATGACATAGGAAGGACTTCAGGTAAGAAATAGGTAACAGAAGCCAATGACTTAGTAGAAAGTCTTTCTATGCAAGTAATCTCAGTTCTTAGTGAAGAAATACTGAAAATAAATATATGTAGAAATATTTGAATGTCCCAAAAGGCATTGACTACTATTTAGAAGCTATAGCTGGAAGCTTTTTTATTTAAAACATTTTTACAGTGTGTAAGGTGTGGTAAGATGTCTGATTTTAGTCTGGTGGGTCCTGGGCTTTTCTTGGTGGGGAGCTAAAATGCCACCCTTTGCCCTGCTCTTGGGTGCCGAGGGCCCCGCTACTAGCCCGGGAAGGTGGTAGAGGAGGGAAGCAGCGGAGGGGTCTGGGTTTGCTCCTCACTCTGAGTCCCAGCCCCTCTCAACCCTTGTGGGTTTCTTACCCTCGTCCCCCTTAGGTGGGGTTACCCTTGGTCCTTAGATGCTGGGGGGAAGGGAGTCTCCCTGTCCTGCTGGGCAGGGTCTCCCTTGCTTCAGTTCTCAGGTCTTCCAAACCTCTCAACACACCTCCAAGCTCCAGTCCTTTCTCCTTCCTCCTTCTCGCTGACTGCCTGATGGGGCTGGTGCTGGTAGGGGTTATTAGGTTCCTAACAGGGCCTTAATTGACTGCAGGTGCTCCAATTAACCTGCAGCCACCTTCCCTAGTCTACAGGGAACCATGCCTTAATTACCCTTGAGCTTATATATTTCCCCTCTAGTGGGCAACTGAACCCATGCTGCAGGGTGATTGGAGGTGAGGGCTCTGTACATCAATGTATCTGTGTTCTCTTTGGTACATCTTGGAGTAAATTAACTACTGTATTTTATATAACAAATTCCCACAGTTTTAAAGCTTTGATTAGTTTATTATGAAAATGCAATAAATAATATAATCCACCCTTGCACAATTTCTCCCATGTATCCCCAGGGTTATGCATACCACTGTTTGGAAACCTCTGTTCTAGGGGGATGAAAGTGTAGTTGATTCTCTGCCTGTTGAATCCTTGGCCATTGTCACCTAGGGTAAAGGTGGTATACCAGTCCACTAAGATCTACACAAACTACCAACTTAGAAGTTAATAGCCCACTGAACAGCTGTAAGGCTTTAAACAGCTACTAAGCTGTTCCATGTTTAAGATCATTTGAAGGATTCACATGTGGTTAATTAATGTTCATATGCTTCCACTCTTTCTCCCTCTGTGAAGATGGTGACTTACCAAGTTTTGCCCATGTAATCTACACAAGTAAACTACTAAAACTTCTTTCTGTAGAAGAGTTGTCTGTTACATCATCTTATAAAAGCCATGATGATTTCAGGTCCAGTAGAAATATTCAGGCATTGGGGAGAAAATCAGTGTTCAAATAGAAAAGGACAAAATCAACAGGGGAAAACATATTATGCCTCTGAAAGGTAGTAAACAGTGATGCTTAAAACCAAAATTAAAGTTTAATAATTTTCTTCTTAAATTTGGGCATCTATTCTAGATTTTGGGCACATTCAAATCAATACTGTTTTCCTCCCTTTTTATTAAAAACTGAATTTCTGAGACTCTGCCGTATGGACGTGCAATCCTATTTGAAAATATATTTGCTACAAATGTGTTTAAAGAATTTAATTAACTATGGGAAACTTTCCCTAGGCAAGTTAACATTTTTTTATTATATACTTTACAGTAAGTAGTAAATATACGCTTTGCATATAAATACAAAATAACCATAAAAACTAATGTGTTTGAGATACAGAAATGCAAACAATATCAAAAGTTATTAGCATTCTTAATGTGTGTCCCTGACAATGTCTGTGCAAATTTAAGACACTTTCACCTGTGGACCGTTTAGAAGCAGGAAATGGAAGCAGATTTTCAAAGTGGCCTTAGTTGAGTCATTTTGCAATGATCCTTAGATGCCAAAAGCAGTCCATGAACTATTATTGCATGGATTTCTCTGTTTGTTGCTTTGTGCTATTAAGAATAGTACAGAGCATCATTAAGAAGAATTGCTAGTGGCTGAAGGTGGGATCAGGTTATAAAAATTATTTGACTTAAATTACATTTTAAAAAACTAGGCCCCATTGTTCTTGCCTGTTGGGTAAATAGATGTCTATACAAACTGTAATACACATAGGTAAAAAAGGAAATTGCTTTAAAGTTATTTTAAAAATCCTGACCATGATGCTGACAGTTCAACTTTTTTAGTTTTGTGTTTTATGTGGGGGTTTTGGGGATCTTTGTGTTTTGTTTTTGATAAACATTTATTTGGGACGCTAAGCAGGCCAGTCAGATTTTCTGAAGAGCTCTGGAATTAAAAATTAAACTGGATAATCTTTATATTAAAGTGTAATGCTCTTTGGGGAAACGGTTTATGAATATTTTGGGTCAAAATATGACACTAGAATTACACTCTTTAGATACATAGGTACCTATCTTAATGGTGGTTCTAAGACGTTCTTCCAGTTAACTGGCAAATAAGGTTTGAGTGTCTTAGGTATGTTGCTGGTATATAAAAGCTCTCAAAATGGATCATCTTCAAGGCTGACTTCTCCCTGAAACGGAAGGGACCGTTTGAATTAGAAGTTCCTTTTTCTGTAGAGTTAGTTCTTCAGTTAAACAAAAACCTCAATCAGAAGTCTGTATTTGTGAGCTAGCTGTCACTTCCGCCATATTTGCTTTGTAAGACTTTGACCAGAATTGCTGGCTCATGTTTCCTGAGATTTTAAAACATCTTCCACTGCAATATAAAATAACCCCACCTTTTATACCTAATTTCACTTTATCAAGTTTCTGAGATGCCTATGGTCAAAATGACACCAGTTGAGAATCCTGTTGAGTTCTAGGGTATTCTGTAGCCAGTTGCTTTTTTATATCTTAGCACATCTTTGGTGAACAGCATATTTATTTTATGGCATTATAGGAATAGTTTAAAAGATTATGGGTATGCAACCACTTCAAAACCTTGTATTTATATGTTTAAGTGTAGTGTTGAAAGATTGAGATCTTGCTTATTATCCCCTTATGGTTTTGCTCTGCTATTCAGTGTACTAAATCTAGCTATTTTTGAGTTTGAATAGATATCACTAGGTGGCAATATAGTCTAGATATAAACAGCATTATAAAAGAGCAAACTAAGTGGGATTAAATTGGTTAGTGGAGAATCGTGTTATTTCCAGTTTGGTAGGGATATGAACAGTGACCATGTGGTGGTGTCTTGTAGATTCCTATTGCATTGATTTTAACATTAAATTATAAAATTGTTGGCTAAAAAGAGGGCTTGAAAAGGAACCATTTCTTAATCTAATTTTGTTTTAAAGGTTACAATTTTAGTGTCTGTAAAAGAGAATGCTTTGTGTATCATTTACAAGAAAGTTTTTGTGTGGTGTGTGATATTTAACTTAAAATCCATAAAATGGGAACACAATTTGGTATGCTAATTTTAATAAAACTCTATTTAGCTCACATAGGAGAAGGAAAATACAATCTAAATAAGGTAAACTAATTGTTAGTATGAACCGATTGCCCAAAGACCTGTTAGCAGCTGAGAACACCCTTAGATGGAAGGGTCCAGAAATTGCTGCTTATTGCAAGTAGCACTTAATTGTAACCTAATAAATATATTTAAATAATAGCGGTTAACTCTGATCTCTTTGACTGAAGTCTTAATTATATTCACGTAACTCTTTAAAGTGTGTTATGCACCTTTGAATTCCAGTTTGCATGATTTGGAATAGGGCTAGGGGGCCATTGTATTGATTCAAAACTCAGAGTCGCAGGGGGCCAGTGAATGAGTGGCGTGCGCGGGTTTCAGCCCTGTCTGGGGGCGCAGCCTTCCAGCACAGTCTCCGATGTGTATCGGTTTAGCGAGCCGCTCAGAGTGCGAGTGGGGAGGAAGGTTGTAATTAGGTATCCATGTAGGCTAAACCCGCCATTTTATTAAGCTCTGCTGGAGTAGGTCCTTGTAAGGGAGATGGCAGGAGGCAGAGAGAGCATGAAATGGCAGCCGACTAGCAGTAATGCGGCCATATGCACCCCGTAGGAAGCCACTGTGTGCGCGGCTTCTCAATGAGCCCGTCCCCTCCGCGTCGGAGCAGGCGCTCGGAAGGATGCAGTTTGCAGGGGAAGCTGCTATGCTGCCTGTTAACTTTTTTGTTGGCTAAATGTCGAAGTCTGGGGAAAGCGTCAGTATGTTAATGGCTAGCACAGGGATCGCGTGTCACGTAACTGCAGCGCCCCAGTGCAGGCAGCGCTGCAACACTCCGCCTGCGACGGGCATGTCGGCGGGCGGGACGCGCCGCTCGCCACAGCGGGGCGCTAGTAAGCAGCCTGACTGGAGCCCGTTGTTCAGGGCTTGCGCCGCGTACTGAGAAGCGAAGCGCTCATTTTATCTCCTATTCATTAAGCGGTGTAGCAGCTCGCGAGCTAATGGCCGGGCCCCTGTCTCCCCTGCAGGCGATGGAACATGCAAATGGCATGGAGCTGGACGGCAGGAGGATTCGCGTGGATTACTCCATCACCAAGAGGGCGCACACCCCCACCCCGGGCATCTACATGGGCAGGCCAACCCAGTAAGGAATTGACTCTTCATTCTGTGTGAACGGCCCTCAGATCGAGTTAAACTAAATGTTTGAACTCGAATTGAACTGCAGACACTAGGAGCAGTGTATTTCTTGTGAGGATTTCAGTCGTCTGCCTTTTTTAAGCTGCTCCTTATCTCTAATGTAGGGTGGGTGGGTTTGTTGCAGTTGATCCTGAGGTACACTATTAAGCCCTCTTTTAGTATGGTATTTTTACTTAAGGTGAACATCTTTTATAGCCCAAGAGCTTACTGGGTGAGGAATATATTAAAAATAAACAAGATGGGGGGGGGAGAGAATTGTTCCAGGGCTCTTTAATGTCTAAACCCCTCCCCACTCCGGTCAATTAATGCACTTAGTGATTTTTTTTAAAATGTGGGATCTACTGAGTCTGAGACAGAAAGTGTACAGGGAGTAGTTGTCATTTGAGGATGCTGAAGATCATTTTAGAGAACTTAAAATTCACAAGAAAGAATGCAGATTTCTGTGCTTCCATTTTGTTCCTTTTTGTAAATAGCAGTGGAGGTGGCGGTGGTGGTGGTGGTGGAGGAGCAGGTCGTCGTCGTGATTCCTATTACGATAGGGGATATGATAGAGGATATGACAGATATGAAGAATATGACTACCGGTACAGGTAACAAGTTGGATTAATTATTTGATTCTTTCATTTTAATTTTTTTAATAAAGGTAGTTGCTGTGGGGAGGCTTGCGACTCTCATACATATCTGGTGTCCTTAAATTTCAAGTGACCCCTAGGAGAGAGATCAGCAGAAGCAAGCCTTGTAGCCTTACTAATACAGTTATGTCAACTAAATAGCATATTCAGCAGTCCACATACTAATTTCTAGAGGAATAAGGGGGGGGGGGGAATAATGTTAGTAGGGAGTTGGAGGAAAGGCTAATGTAATAAAAAGGTGAGGTTTCATAATCGGGAGGAAGAGAAAAAAGATCTGAGCCCAAGTTAATAAGAATGGATGTAAATAGGCAGGGGTGCAAGTATAATTAATGGGAAATATTAAAACAAAATGGAAAATGTCCTATTGAAAGTAAAAGCCACTAAAGGGATGGTTAAGCATGAGGTCAAATCCATTTAAAAATCTTTCTCCTTTGTCAAAGTTGTATAGTTTAACTAAGTTCTTTGGGGTAAGGACTTGTTTCTACATGTCTGCAGAAGTGCTGTGCACACTTCGGAGCACCATATAGGATAATAAACATATTCTAAATAAACTCATAAGTTTAAATACCATACTTGGAATAGAGAAGCTAGGAAGCTCCTTAAATATTTCATTGTGAGTCTCTGCCAGATCAGATTTAAATCAACCATACAGTCCGATCTTCCACTGTCAAGGGAACAACTGTCTTCATATAGAAGTGATTGTATAAAGACACTTTCATAACAAAGCTACAACTTCTATATTCTCTTTAAAGGAGACGATCACCTTCACCTTATTATAGCAGATACCGATCACGGTCAAGATCCCGCTCCTATAGCCCAAGTAAGTGTATGTAAATAGTTCGTATTGAACCATGCTAGTGCATCTGGACTTGATTTGTTAGTTTTAATGGAAAATAGACTTGTGATGAATGAGAAATTTTGAATGTGGCAACAGAAAATTCACCTTGGTGTAAGTTCAGCTATTGCAAGTTTGAATGTTTAAATGTACATGATTTTTATAGTAATATTGTTATCTTTTTCCAGGACGCTACTGAAGAACGGAAGAATTACAGTTGTGGACATGATTTTTAAATAAAGTTCTTCCCTTAGCTTCCCTTTGGTCTCCCCCTCCTTTCCCCTCAAATCTCTCTTATAAGATCTTTGGTTCATTTAGAAGATACATATTTTCAGTTGAAGTATTGCTGTTTTCCACCCCCTTTTATTGTAATACTCTTAAAATTGTAATTGTTGTAGTTTTGTGTAGTTAAACATCTTAAGCAAAACTAAATAGAAATCCCAAAGTGTTATACATTTTGTAAGTCATTTTGTTTTTGTTTTTAAAACAGTTGTACTCCTGGCTAATCTAATGAGGAGAAGAGAGCATTGATGTTTTTTAAAGCTTGCATGTTGTGTGTAATATACGCACTCAGCTACTTTAATATAAACCTGTGTTTCCAAAAAATAACTTGTTAATCTTTCTGTTAATGCTTGGTTGTTAATTTTGAAAAATAAGTAACGTCTCCGAACCTTTTCTGTAATGACAAATTTTACTAGATAGTCATGAACCCGACAGGTTTTTTTTTTTTTTTTTTGGTTAAATTGCTTTGTGTAAAATATTAAAGTGATAGCACATTTTCATATTTGGTTTAACTTCTTTGGAAAAACAGATTCTTGTACACTGAAGATAAAAGTTGTGTTTTATAGATGAAAAGTTTCTAGACTGCTACTCAGTGGATAACATTTGAAGTTAAAACCATACAAATCTAACTGATTTTTTTTAATTGAACTTAAAGTAGTGTTTCCCCTTAATCAGTGCAGGAGAAAAAATATTTATTGAACATAGCAATTAGTTATATAATTTGCTGTTCATACAAACTCATGTTGGTATTACAATGATGGTTAAGGAAGTTCTAGTTTTCAGTCCTTCTGGAGTTGCTGGTATGGATAGAAAAATTACAGTTACATATAAACTTCTTCCTCAAAATAAAGTTAATTACACTGTAATGGATTTTCATGTCTTTTATTCTGCATTTACATGTCATCTGGTAACAAAAAGTACTACTATGGGCTAAGTTCTAACCAGTGAGTTAGAGATGGAGAAGATCCACATTCCAAGAATCTTCTGAATCATCCAGCTCCCATGACTAGATTTAGATTACACTTTATTTGTATTGACTTAGTGGAAAAGTTAGCAAGGAATACTCTCAACTAATTAAACTTAACTATTACTAATTAACTGTGGAAGTTAATTTACTTCATTTCCTTTTGCATTTCATTCAGTTTTAGATTTGTAAAACATATGCACAGCTGGAGCTCTGGTCACATGCAGAAAGCTTTACCAATTTGAAGTAAATGTCTCCAAAGAAACCATCCCAAATGATTGACAAAATTTAGAAAATTAAAATAGTTTCCCTCATTTACATGATCTTGTTCACTAGCAAAATTTTTGGATGCAACAGCATGGAGGAGGAATGTTCAAAATATTTGTATTGCATTTTTAACTACATATTTTAGGGTTTTGACTCTTCTAAACTTAGGCTGAAATTAGCTCTCCTTTTAATTCCCAAGCCATCAAAACTTCCCACAGTAATAGTTATTTGTATGTGTATAGTGCTTTAACTGAGACTCTCAAAGCAATTTTAAAAAATAGAATTAAGCCTAACTCTGTTGTGAAGAAATTAAGTAATAAACCCCTTTTACTGAGGTAGGGGGGAGGGTGCCCCAGGAAAAGAAAGTAGAGATTCGTGTTCAGTGACACCTGTGAAACTCTCATTGCACTTGCATTGGTGTAACAATGGAATAATTCTTAAGCACAAGGAATCAAATCCATATCCAGTAGCTGTGTTAATTCTACAGGGTAACAAGAGTAAAGCTGTAAAAAGTATTGTTACTAAAGTAAGCAGACCTGACATTAATCAGGGATTGGTTGTTTTCAGTGAGCTTTGGTTGTAAGTTTTTTCTGAGCATAATGGTTATGCATTACCAGTCCTAGCATAAGGAGGCCTTGATCAGTGGCTTTGGGGCAGGACCACAATAGACATAGAAGGTGCCATTTTTATGTAAACACCTAATGATAGTCTGAAAAGGTTTCATTAGTGTATTTTGTACTGGTCGTGAAAAATGTTTTGCAAATGGCACTGAGTCCAAAACAACCTCTAATTACCCAGGATAGCATAAATGTGTTAAACCAATGTAGATTCTTTCAGTACTTACTGTGAAAAGCAAGTGGCAGTTTATTTGTAATAAGTATACAGAAATTATCAGAAAATTGGTGGTAGTTGGACCTTAGAAGTGTTTGCTATGAGAGGAAATAGCTTTACTGAAGCTACCATTTTAAAAATGTCATTTATACTGTATACCCATACTTTGTGCTTGAAAATGTGAGTTTTCAATGTCCTGTCTCACTACATGTGAAGCAAGTAAGTTGCTTTAAAAACAGAAGCAATGTGAGTTATGAAGCAGTCTTGATGCATTCAGCTGTTTAACACTTCCAGAAATACTTGGCTTGAACCTTCTGTCCATCTCCCCTCTTCTGTTTCTTAGGTTCTTAGTAAAATGTCAAGTATTTCTGCTTCAGGGCACCACTAGTCTGCAATACTGGCTTGTTGCTTTGCTGCAGAGGAAACTCAAACTGTTGCTTAACTATCTACTCCACTTGGTCACAGCACTATCTTATGTTACCTTGAAGTTCTCCAGTGACATGGTAGGAGTCAAATTCTCTGGAACTAACGTTTTCTGGACAACTGATGGGCACAAAAACAAGTGAAACCCATTCTTCTCCCTTGCTCCCTACAAGGGGTAGCATTTTTTATTTGGTAGGCAAATGACCTAAGCACAGACTCTCCTGGAGTGCCTTCTGTCAGGCACGCTGTCCTCTATGTAATATCTGCAAAGTCCTCCACAGGCTGCATCAGAAAGTGGGGCGGGGCTATATCTGTTTTCTCAAGCTGGCAAAAGGGCTCAAAAGGAGCCTTTTTCCTTCCCTCCCCCAATTTCCACACAGCACAGGGACTGTTCTGGGTGGCTTCTTCCCAGAAGAAGATACATAAAGGACTCTGGCTCTCATTCAGGGGCACCCAAGGAACACTAAGTGCAAAAACCCTTCTCATGTACCAAACACAGATTACTTGAAAAGGACCTAGGATACTTAGGTCCCTCAAAGTACTTAAATGGGAGCTAACTGGCTTAGGGAAGCAGACAAGTGTCTTTCAGATCCCAGGACTCCCTAGTGGTTCTTCCTACCCCCAAAGGAACACTGTCCAGTGCCTCTATTGGATTGGTCTGCCCCCAGTTGAAGAAGTACAAATACATTGCCCCACCTAAGAGAAATTAAGAGAACCTTGTCTGAACAGCACAAGATACCGCCCTCCCACTGCTACGCAAGCTTCTTCAGACAGCAGGAGTTGCTGAAACACACTAAAAGGCCTTGGGTACTGAAAAAGCCCAAAGTGGCGGTAGTTCTTAAACACACCTACACCCTGCCCTTGCACAGTTGCCTATATTAGACATGTCCAAATCAGAATCAAATACTCAGGTCAGATTCTTTCCATCCAACTATTTTGATGCCACATTAGTGATAGAGGAAGAAGGCCTCAAAACCAAGGGTAAGTCTACTATTCAGGCTAGGATGGTTGCAGATTTTTCCTTCACAACTTTATGAATATTATGAGATCTAAATAAACACTTAGAAAAACAAAGGCCGAACAAAAACCCATTTTAGAACTTGTGTTAGTTTCAGGTGATTAAGGTTAATACAGCTGTGGCCTTGCTGACAAAAGACATGATCAGCTTGGTCAGGGAGTCTTTTTACCAAAGGATTCCATAGAGAAAACATTAGAAGCTACCCCCTGCAGAATGATTGCATCCTAGCCACGTGGGAGGCTATTGTGGCTGTATCATGGATGGTTGACAGTCATTCCCAATAGATACTCTGCACATCCAAATGAACAGACATTCCTGTTTGGGGAAAACATTAAAAAATATAAAGAAAATAGAAAGCCATATTACTAAAGCCTACGAAGTTGTAAATCTTCCCATACCAAAGTAATCCCTGTGGAAGGGTAGGCACTTAAGCTTTCAAAGGAGGATTACAGTGCTTCTCAGGCAGTCACAAGAGCAGCCATCTCATACATAAATCCTCCCTTTCTTGCTTTAAGGGGATGTTTTCCAAACTTTGGCATTTCAGACACTGCCACAACAGAGAGCGAGAATAGTTGTGAATGTTGGGTACAGAAGAGGAGTGGTAGCATGATCATCACATCAGCCCATTTCGTGATCCAGATCTTGTATTCCTTTTAGCAGGAGATTAAGGACGAGGGTGCAGATCCTCTGTACAAAATCCCAATTGCCCTAAATTGTCAGCTGCTGAAACTTCTGGACCTAATGCATGCAGACAAAATTCAGTTAGCTGTCCTGCATCAGACCTGTAATCCTTCCTAACACAGTGGATTGCCAAGAAGAATCCATGGCACAAGGTAATGCTCTCCACAAGTAACTATAATCCTTGAGATGGTGGAGCAAGATAGATTTATCCCAGGGGAAAGTATGATGAGAGATGCTGCCCACAAAGATAACTGTGGATACATCAGTGTTGGGGTGAGGCACTTTCATGGATCTTCACACATTATGGTAGGTGGACCAGGAAGAAACATGGCAAGATTAAAAATTGGAGTCAGGGCAATGATCAATGCTGTTGGAGACCCTTAGCCTGCAAATGAAATTTAGCTCCATCCTGCTTCAGAGCAACAGATGAGCCAGCTATTCCATCAAATATTACTCTGCAAATCCCCAGTGTATGGGAAACCTGTCTCGGATACAGATGTCAAGTGCAAGGTCAGCCTTCAAGTTGACTAGTTAACTTACCAAACGCTTCCACAAGGGAACTGGAGTTGAAATATACAGTACTGATCAAGATCTATGAGAAATTGGGGGAGCGGGGGCCTCAAATCAACTTATTTGTCTCAAGCAATAATCAGACTGCATTTTTCTTGATCAAGGCTCTAGGATATAGAGCAGGGTGGCCAACCTGTGGCTCTGAAGCCACATGGGTCTCTTCAGAAGTTAAGATGAGGTTCCTTGTATAGGCACCGGCTCCAGGGCTGGAGCTACAGGTGCCAACTTTCCAGTGTGCTGGGGGGTGCTCACTGCTCTGCCACAGGCCCTGCCCTCATTCCACCCCGCCCCACCCCAAGCCTCCTGCATGCCACAAAACAGCTGATCAGTAGGTGCGGGAAGGCACTGATAACAGGGCTGCTAGTGGGTGGGAGATAATGGGAGGAGTTGTTGGGGGGCTGCTGACATATCACTGCAGCTCTTTGGCAATGTACATTGGTAAATTCTGGCTCCTTCTCAGGCTCAGGTTGGCCACCATTGATATAGAGACTACAGAGAGTTGTATTCTCACTCAAATAGACTATTTGGTGTATGTCTTTTGTTGGCATGAGTAGCTAAGAAGAGCAGACTCAGCCCGCAGAATTCTTATTGCCTTGTATTATTCTTACAGCCCCGTATGTTGTGATTCTGTTGCTTCCTGGAGATATCTGTATGCTCATCTTGGCTAATCCCAGTCCCCACATTGTTATGCTTATAAGCAGCACACAGGATTTTTTTCAGGGGAAAAGGCAATACACTGCATTTGCTGAAGATACAACAATTAGCATATGTATTCAATCACACTACACACACACTGTCCCACCAGTCGATATTATAGTTACCAGTCCAGGGTCTGGATCAATCTAGTGGCCAGCTAGGTTGATCACCGGTAAGGAGGAGCCGGGTTCTCTTGGTCATGACACGATGCTTCGGGGAAGTCATGGCAGGACAAACCCAAAGTTTCATTGCAAGGCACCCTGTTTACATAGTGATTTTGTTTCATTAGGACAAATGAGTTTTGTACAGTTATGCTGTCATCAATTGTTGTTTGACGAATGCTTCTGAGGTGGGGCCCTATCTTATGTCAAGAGCCCACTAGTCCATGGAGTTTGGTTCACATCTTCACAAATCAC